AGTAAGGTTTACATTGTTACCTTTTTTAACAGTTTAAAAATATTATTAGTTAGGGTAGCTATAATCTATATAAAATAAAATAAAGCAGTAATAATAACCGGCATGATGGTAATAAAAAAAAGCAAATGGCGGATCCTTTCGGTTTTCCAACGAAATCCAGCAAAATGTTAAAATATAAGGTTAAAGAAATATTACCTAACAATTATCCCATATACTACCACGTTGAACTCGATAAACCAAAAAAGAATGACCGAGGCGACAGCAGCGGTGTTTTATAGTTCACTAGCGTGAATGTAGAAAAACTGATGCGCGCAAACCGTACTTTTCAAATTTCGAGAAGGAAGCGAGCGGTGGTCGTTTAACTTGTGTTTGAAATTAATTTAAAATTAATTTCACGTAACAACATGTTAAGGTAGCGAAATGATTTCTTTCCAGTTTATCGAGTATTAATCTCTAGTCGACAAACACGTTAATCCAGATATTGTCTTGAGACTCAACAAGTTACATCTCCAACTCATTTGTATCTACTGGAAATCATTTAATTCCAAAATACTATAGACTACTACATATTATATGAAGACATGCTTAGAAGAATTTCTTGGGTGCCAGTCGCTTTTAAGTTAGTGTAGTACCGTCACCCAAAATGTCTTGTCATGTCATCTTCAACACTTGGGTCGCTACTCGTGCAGAAAACCTATTGCACACTCGTGCCACTAGTTTCACGCAACGTGTATAATTGGTTACTTTCTGTATTTGTGGCACAGTATACTATTTTTATGTTAAAAAGATATATTATTTAAAAATTTTTGTACCTAAAAAATTAGCATGTCATTTGAGAAAGCCAGTCACAAATTTGACATTCCAAAAAGGGCAGATTCTTATTGCTAACACTTCGGTGCGCATTCCTACGAGAAATCCTTGTAATAAATTTTCAAAAGTCACAATCTGCTTTACATGAAAAACCCCATAAGTCGCTGACTAATGGTGTTTCTTTAATACACGCAGATTGACCGAAAGACTGACTTCTAACGGTGTTTTCGCTTCAATAAACAAACTAAGACTATTAAATTATGTTGGAAATACCTGTGCGATGCGTAGAGATAGAAGGATTAGTGCTTGGGTAAAAACGTCACTTTTTAATTACATACTTTATTTTAAAACACTTTGAAACTATGTTAATGTTATTACATGGTTCATTTACAAACCATATACAGACTTAGGAAGATAAGTTGTTCAGCTAGATTGAGAGTGAACTTCGACATTAACCAATTAGGAATTAGAAGTGAGGGCGATTGCCGGGTATGGATGACCAATGAGAAGTGGACAAGGAGTGAATGACGCATGTGACGTAGTTATTAGACGGGAGACCGTTCTTATCGGCCAAGGCAGTACCGCGTACCGCAGAGACGTCTCTAGGAGTATAAGGCAGTGTGGCTTGCAGAGACGTCTCCAGGAATAATAAAGAATTGAGAATGAATGCTTAGCGCAATTTCGAATATAATTCAACAAGCAGTATCACAAGATAAAAAGATATCATTTAAAATAAGTTAATATGTGTTTTTTTAAACATTTTATGAAAATAAAGAAGTTTTTGTGCAAAATCTTGTATAGATAGACTGACTTGTGATACATTTGTAAATACGTCTACACAACCTTTGACTTCCTGTTAAAAAGGCTTGGAAAAATACCTATTAACAAAAAAAAAATATTAATGATCTTGTCAAACTAAAGCAGTATCTTCCCGAATGAAAAGACGTACTTGAATTTTATAAAGATAACTATAACTGGCCGACTGTTGATAAAGATAAGATTTTAAAGTAAATAAAAATATTGTTAAATAAACATATTATTTCATGAGAATATGTAGTTTTATTGGCTAAATAAATTAAAATAATATACGTATATTTGAGAAGCCCCGTCAGTCATGATTTTCAAAAAAATATTTTGGACTCTTTAGAAAAATAACACAAGTTGTTTTGATACTATCAAATAGTTAACCAATCTCGCAATTTTAGAAAAAAAATCAACGCATTGTCTCACACACAGACGATTTAAGAAAATTGTTTTTTTTTTGGGATTCCAAACTTTTACTTTTATGACTTATGGTGTTTCTCAAGTGACTGATTAAATATTAACGAATTTTGATCAGAAAAAGTAATTTTTTCCACTTTTAAGACTAGGTACTATTCTTAAACTTTCACAATAGATATACGTGACTTATAGAGTAAACCGAAACGTTCGTTTGCTTAGAAATATTTCCCGTGCACGCTTCGGCTTTGGGTCGTTCACGCGCCGCCAATAAAAATAATGTTCTATTAAAAATTCAAAGGATTCCAATTCAAATTGGGATCGCATTCAAATTGCTCCTCTGAAACGACACAACGGCCGTCCGTCCAAACTATAATGAGAAATGTGATTCTTCGCTCTGTCGTATGATTAGCGTGAATGAGAATGGGTTTTTCATATTTGAAAACGGTGGTGGACGCTCAAAACGAAATGAGACTGAAGTTGTAACGATAAATATAATAGCTATACAAGAACAATAAAAATATAATGAGTGCATATTATTAAGAAATTGGGAGAAAGATAGGCTTGAAACAAGAATCTCTTCTCTACCGATTGTTATTATAGATGTAGAGGAAATTGAAGCCATTTAAGTAGCAGTAGTTTAAAAATAAATTAATATGGAAACACCCAGTATCCGAAAATTAAAATTATGTCCGAGGCTCTTTAAAATAAAAAAAATTTTCAGATTTTTCCTCTGTTCTCTGATCTGTCTTCTTTTGTTGATTTCCTATAACTCATTTCACCTCTGGTCAATTCTCCTTTCTACTTTCTGATATACCTTTCTCTTAAATGAAAATAAATATTTCTTTACCTTTCTTTTTTTTTTTATTCAACTCCTTGTCAACTTTTCAAATTATGCTCGTTCTTTATTTTTTAATAATCTTTATTTCATTTACATTCAAACTTTAAAACTTCAATAACTACAGTGTATTGAAAGTGTGTCCCCCCATTCAAAAAGGGAGACAGGAATGATGTAACCAATTATAGACCAATATTTCGATAGCTTAAGTGCAAAACGTCGTAATCCACAAAATTTCAAAAAAATCTCTTTTCGCGTCATTGGAGTCGTATGTTTTAGCTGCGTCTTGTGAAAAACTATCGCAAGCAACAGTATAAAATGAAAATAATTTTATGCGCCAAAACAAAAAGTTGCTCTTCCAAATTACATCTAAAGTCTACTTGGTTTTTTATTCCCCTGTAAAATTTACTTTTTGGGGTTACGACGTTTTGCACTTAAGCCATCGATTTGTAATTGGTAACTTGTCGAAGGTGTATCGGGATAATAATTCGCTGTTGCTAGGTACACGCTAAAGTGTACACAAATCAAAAAATTATATACACGCGAAACGTCATATTGCTGTGGTGGGAGGTGTTTGTGTGAATGCGTCTTGTTTGTTCTCATTTACGCCGTGACTAGCAGTAGTATTTTATAATAGCCCAAGAGCCCACTGCAAATTATTACCGTCATCTGATAACGAAATGAAATATACCCTAAAAGCATGGAAAAACATTATACTTTACCAAATGGCACCTGTGCCAATCCCAAGCATGAGCAAAGTGGCTTAAAAAAATTATTTTATATTAAAAAAATCACATAAGGCATGACAGCGCTAATTTTGTTTGTCCTTAAAGTTTTCCAGAAAATTACATTCAAATATATCTTGATATATATCGTTAAAGGGAAACATTTTCTTCCTCTTAACATCGCACAAAAACATCTATCCACGATTATTAGGTAAAAATCATTAAAAATATGAATCAATGTTTGCTGATTTAAAAATTTATTTGTATGCCCATTGTTGTAATTTATTTTTACAGGTTGCCATAGAAACGACAAAAAAAACTACTATGATTATGGTTTAAAATAATTGTCTAACAAGAGTTATAATTATTATTGACTATCTCTGCAAATGGTTTATAAATGCCATCCTTCTTCCTTTCATACATAAATATGGTTTAAAAGGTAGATAAAAATATTAATAATTCAGGTTTAAAAGCTAGGTTCACAATGAATTAGGATTGTAATTTTCAGGGAAAACACAATTGTTGCTGTCATGTCTTATGTGATTTTTTGAATATAAAATAATTTTTTTAACCACTTTGCTCAGGATAGGGATTGGCACAGGTGCAATTTGGTGAAGTACAATGTTAAAAGCCTTTGGAGCATATTTCATTTCGTTATCACATGACGGTCGAAATTTGCAGTGGGCTCTCATACTATAAACCTTAGAAGCAAATTTCACATACCTGAACAAATAATAAGAATAATAATACCGTGACAACAACAAAACGAAGCAACGACTTCTCGTAGGGTGGCGGCTTCGCCGCCACCAGAAAATTTCAATCCATACCTAGCTACGCCGACCGGCATAAACACCAACGGCCTAGATAGACACAGCTCACCTACTTTGTCAAGACGTTTTTCGTAAATATAACTTTTTGAATTGCGTACAAATTAGCGTGTACCTAGACACTGTGATATTAATTTGCACGTTAGCGATACATTTTCATCGCATCAACATGGTTTTGTACAACAACGTTCAACGCTAACTAATCTTGTTAACGCAACACAAATCATTGCCGAAAGTATTGACAGTAAGAAGCAAACGGACGTCGTATACACAGATTTTACTAAGGCGTTTGCCACATTGGATCACGAAACATTGCTCACTAAATTAAAATTATTCGGATTTCATGATTCCCTCCTAAAACTATTTACATTTTATCTTCAAAGCCGTAAACAGTATGTGTATATAAATGGCTTCAAATCAGTTGAGTATATTGCGAAATCAGGAGTACCACAGGGTTTGAACCTGGGCCCTTTATTATTTATATTATTTATTAACGATATCACTGATATAATTGAAACTTTTATATCGTTTATATCTACTTGTGTTAATTAAAAAAATTGTCATTGTTTATGTTTGTTTCAGATATCTAACGATAGGTTGTAGTACTCTAAAATTCATCCTGCGTCATTTCGGCGACACAATCCGGAACAACGTACAATCTCCCGTAGGAAGCTTCGGCGTGGACATAAGCAGGGAAGAACGGTACCAAAAATCGTTACGTTGTCACGAATTTTTGGGCCAAATACGATCCTTCGTTGTGAAAAAACAGACTCTGCCGGGAATAGGTACGTCTTTTAAAGAAATCCATACGATGATGCAGAATTTTTTAGACTGACGGCCGCCCAAAAATGCCTTACGTAGATTTAAAAACTCTAGTGTGTGAATAAAAACTGTTGAACAATTTATTAATAATTGAAGGAGTGAAAGTGTGTGAATTTCGTCGAAATGTGAATTACTCAAAAATCTCGCCATTTTCGCAATTTTTGACATGGATTTTTTCTTTAGATCCTTAAAAATATACAGTGTGACAATTTAAAAACTTACAATGGACTATAGCTCACAAACGAAAGATATCAAAAAAAATGCTTAAAACCGTTTCTAGGATAGGAAGAGGTAACTAAACTAACATAAAAGAACTCACAAATTTGTAGTTCAACAAAAACTTTTCCATTTAAGGCAGGATTGCACAACACACGGCCCGTCTACATCAAAATATACATTATTTTTTAACAATATTTTAATAATGTTTAAGAATCTTTGTTTGCAACTAACTTGCATCTTATGTTTAATGTTTTCAAGTGCAAGCATGAACAACTTGGAAATGATGTTCTAATTTAACGCTATTACATAGCGTTAATAGACAAGTCTTTGAATGCGCTTTTGTGTGTATCTGTTCTTATAATTTTGAGTCTAAAAATTTTGCTTCTCGACTTAGCACGTACAATAACATTTTTGTCGCGAACCATCAGGTTTATTGAGCTTTTATTGCTCATTTTGATTTGTTACTCTGGCTACTCCAAATTGTCGGGTTCAAAGTCTGCAAGGACTGCTAAATTTGGAGCCAATTGCATTATTATATCGGCAGGATTTAAAGGGAACCGGTCAGTCATGATGCCCGCAGCCTCTCTCTGTCGATCGAAATCGGTACAATACAATATCCTGTGTATTGGCGAATCCTCGATTGAGCGTGTAGCACAATCCGATGACTCAGCCTTACCTATGCAGTGTAGGTGTAGTTTTGAGTGGTTCACTATTTGTTTTAAGCCAATCATTTATGTTTGGGAAGAATAGGTTCGTGAACCGGCCTTTAGAAGAGTTTTTCCACTCAGTCTGCCACAGTTGAACCATTTTGTCCAGCATATCGGTTTTAAGATCCTTCCAATATCTGTAGTTGCCTACTAATATTTCATAGAGTCTGAGAATGCTGGGCTTCGAATCCCAGACCAGACCATGTGGATTTTTTATTAAATTGCATGGTTCGGTTTAGGATTTGATGTGTGCTGTATTAATAGAAATTCAATTTCTGTTGATATGACATGCAGATTACCGTCTCGATGATGGTGGGTGAGGCTTTCCGGGTTTTCCTCATCTGTAAGTCAAATGTCACCATCAATCATCTTTAAGTCGCCCCGGAGCGCCACGGCAAATAATAATAATAATAGCCGTCCCTTCCCCTACACAAGTCGTTCAGTCGACTTTAGGGGTTGAAATTCACTCGTAAGGGGGTGAATTAGGGAGAGTATTATTATTATTATTATTATATCCCATAAAAAATGCTCTGCCTGTTTGCTTTATATCCTTTAAAGCTTGTTCATGTTTTAAATGTATGTGTAGTGGCGGGAACTTGGAGAGTGCGCACACTGTCTCGCATGGGGTCGAACTATATGCACCTATTATAGTTCTTAGGCAAGATGCCTGTAATGTCCTTAGTTTTCTTTTGTTTGCCACTTGGGTAATTCTGTGTCCCCACAGTTGTATACTGGTATTATTACCCTTAGGTAAATTTCTGATAATGCTCTGTAAAATTTGTCAATTCTGCCCCAGTTCCGTCTCAAAGTTCTACGAAGGGATTGAAATATTTTGCGGCACTTGTCTGCTATGTAATTTATATGCTGTGCATAATTTAGCTTCTGATCAATTACTATGCCTAAACACTTGATTTCTGTGGCTCGCTGAATGGGTCTACCTTGATAGCGTACTGTCGGATTGCGCATTAGCGACAATCCTGAGAACACGACATACTTTGTTTTGGTTTCTGATATATTTAGTTTGCTCCAGATTGACCATTCGGACAGGATGGTCATACACTCCGCAGCGGTTCCCTCCAAATCATGTCTGCTGGCTCCGCCTATTACAACGATTAGGTCGTCAGCGTACGCGGTGACTCTACTTTTGACGGGCCAAGCCCGCCGCAACACTGTGTCCATGGCAAAGTTTCAAAATGTAGGACCCAGCACGGATCCTTGGGGGCAACCCTTCGTCGACGGCTTCTCAACTGTTATGTAATTTGTAGAGTATTCTACTGATCTGTCTCTTAAGTAATTTTGGCCAATTCTAGAGATGCCCCTGTTCTCTAGTTCAATTATTAGTGAAGACCACCAAAGGCGCCAGATATGTCTATGAATACTGCCATTGAGTGTGTGTAAACACTCCTTATATTGCTAGATAGTACAGCGAGAGCATCGACAGTAGATCGTCCGTTTCGGAATCCGCACTATGAATCCGAAAATATGTTCGCTTCTGGTAGTTCAGTATGTATCTGATCTAATAGTCTTTCAAGAATTTTGTCTAGGTCTGACAATAGGCTTATAGGTCTGTAGGATTTAAGTTCCGTCGGATCTTTGTCCGGGCTTTTCAGTATCGCGACTAACCTGCCCGTCTTCCAAGCTTTGGGGAAATATCCGAGCCTGAAGCACGCCTGATACAGCTTTAACAATTGTACATGTATATGTTTAAATGAAAGGGCAATTATTTTACCATGAATTTGATCTCTACCAGGGACCCTGTAGGAGCTTATTCTTGTAACAGCATCCACCAATGCGTCTTCAGCTATCGTTACTAGGATTAATTCATTGCCTGAGGCTGCAATTGCCTGTTGCCTGATCTCTGTGTGCATTGGCACATTATCATCAGGGCTGTCGTCCGACATTAGCTTTTCGAGAATTTCGATTAATGTTTCCTTTTGGCCTAGAGTGGATGTTCAATCCCTTTTTATTACGCTATGCTGTATGTTGTTTGGTTTTAGCTTGTCAGCTGCTAATTTGTAGACGACACCCCAATGATTATCCGCCAATTGTCTTCTAGAAAGTTTCGCCATGAATTTTTTTTAGAGATTTTCATTTGATTTTTGTATATGCTCAATCGTTTCCGATATTCCGCCCCAGTCTTCATTTCGCCTTCTAAGCTGTTGGTAGACTCTTCTTGCACGGTTTACTTGGGTCTTTTGAACGCTTAATTGATCATTCCACCATGGAGTGGTTTTGTCCTTTAATTTAGAAATTTTACATGATCTTGATGTGACAACAAGTAAACCTTGGGTTAGTTTTCGAATGAAGTTGTCTATGTTTACAGCACTGTCTACTGGGTACATTTCCAGTTCGGTGTTTGTTTAGTTCAATCGAAGCATTTTCGAGAGCTCTCAGATCTATTTTGCGAATGCAGTATTTATTTTCAGTAGCTATATTGACATCTGCTGTGTCGATTTCGAATTGGATTGGCTTGTGGTCACTGCTGTTTCCATTTGACAAGACTTTCCAAGTGTTTATTCTATTAGGCATTCCAACGACCTGTCAATAGGTGCCAGTGGGAAATTCTTGTATATTTAAGGGGGTAGCGACATAGTCTTGCAACTTGGACGCTATTTTTATTCGAAGTAGTACTCGCCAAGCCTGCCAATTTATGAAGAAATGTATAGATGGGTTTTTTAAATATTATTTTTATTGTGTTTGACATAAAATATTTAAATGTAATCCGTTATTCATGATTTTACGTAAAGTAGATAGAATACACCATATGTCGCCACCCTTAGATATACCAAACCTGCCCACTGGTAATTTGTTTGGAATGCCTAATTTATAAGTTGACCTGACGCAACTGTCAAGTCAATATTATCTTCGTCATTTGCAGTGGAGAATGTGTATGGTTGTCCTGCTTGATTCACAATGAATAGATCATTTGCGCTTCTGAAGTTTTCCACCGTGAACCCCTCACATTTGTTCTTTTTGAGTGCTAAGCTGCAGATTTGCTATTAACATCCCCTGTTAGGATAATAGGGGTGTTTCTGTATTCATTTATTGCATTTTGTATGCTGTCTATGTATTCTGCGGAGTCTTGATCCCACGGCATGTAAGCACTTATCAGGCCAAATTTTAGTGTTCCATATTGCAACACATGCCTGCTCGATAATTGAGAATTGAAGGTTACATCTATGTCTTTATTAGCGATGCATATCGCAGTCAGAGGATTTTGTTATTTTAAATCTGCCAACTCTGTGATAGGTATATGGCTCTTGCAAGCAGATTATGTCCGCAGATAGACTATCTGCAAGTGTTTCGGTTTCAATGATTGCTAGCCTAGAATTTTGTGTGTTTGCCTGCACCATAGTTAACTTATTGTTTACCATAATCTATGTTAGAGATTAGATCTTGCGTCCTCTTCGTAAGAATTTGACACTTTGTTGATCTGGCTTCATGCTGCAAGTCTCTCATTTTTGCAGCTTGGAAATTTACACAAATGGGCATTTTTTCTTGGTTTTTACAATCTTTAGTTTCATGGGCTTCACCGCAGTGGCCACAGGCTGTCTCGCTTCGGCAATCTCTTTGAAGGTGTCCAAATTTTTGGCACTTATAGCATCTTAGTATTGTAATGTGGTCTCTAACTATGCAAGATGACCATCCCAAGTACACTCTTTTCTTTTCAAGAAATTTGTTCCTGATTTCTGGTATAACTTCAATTACCCAGTGGTTACAGTGTTTGTCTATAGGACCAAACTTATGCTTAACCGTTATGTCGCCATCATTTACATTTAATAGAGCGTAAGTTAATTCATTTCTTAGAGTGTCTTCTGTATAGGTATTTGGGACGCCAAATACTGCCAGTCTTGAGTTAAGTTTACCCAGTATTTTAACCTCCAGGCCTGCCTTTCTTAATGCCACTGCATTTATCTTGTTCATATCCGCATCAGAAGTGGTGTTTCTCACCTTGAGAGCCGCGTCTCGTTATTATTTCAGGTTTTATTCCTAAATCTATCGGTCTCAACTCTTTGAGAAGCCTTTTCTTTGTATCGTCAGAAGTTTTTAGTGTCCCTTCTTTGTCAATTGGTGTTATTAACACCGACTTTACTGGGGCCGCTACTACTGTTTTCTTTGCCGTTACCTGCATAACTTGTTGTCGATATTATATCGTCGAGTTTCTTATTGAGTTCCTTTGTGGAATTTCCTACGTTTGCGCCACACAGAACTGAGAGCTCCGAAAATATGCAACCCATGCTTTCAACAGCTTTTAGAAGCTCATTCTTATTGTTCATTGTATCTTTCAATTCCATTAT